TTTTTTTTAGTTGCAACTTTGGGTATTATTTATGAAATATAAAAGATTCTAAAGTTGCAACTACAAAAATCGAATGTAGTACATTATAATTATTTATTTTTTTCTTAATTAATTTTTCACTATTTTTTTTTCTTGATTTAAATATATACTTTACTAGAAATTCATTGTAAAGTATATTATGCTATATCAAACAAGACTTAATCTAATGAAAATATTTATATTGGTAAATGTGATAAAAGAATGTGTCAACTAATTTAGAGAAGGTTGTGGGTCAATTGAATCATTTAACTTGAAACTTCAATAATGTTAATTTTTTTTTTTTTTTAAAAATGTTATGAAGTATGGAGAATCAAAGTATTAAACTAACCACTCACAAATACTTCATCAATCTTACGTTAATCCCACAATATTATGACAAACTTTAAAAAAAATCTGATATACAATAATATATTGTAATACATCTGTATAAAGTTAACCAAAAATGAGCAAAAATTACTCTAATATGAATAAAAGGTACCCTGATATAAATAAAAGTTATGAAGTATTTATGCTTTATTGATAAAAGTGACCAAAAAATTTGTAAAAGTGACCCCAAATATACGGTAAATTACTGTACACCAAATGTATATAAAAGTTACTCCAATACTATTTCTGAATTTGCCATTGCATTAACACCAACTCGTAAAGAAATTAACCAAACTCAACCTTAAAATGAATATGGTGGATATTAATTTATTTTATTATGATTTTGGTGGATAACTGGATACTAAATGACGGAGAGCTAGGTAATAAGCTAAATCAGCTGATTGGCATAATACCCTTATCATTCAAAATAAATAAATAAATAAAATTGGTATAGTACCATAAATGACTCCACCCAAACTTGAATCAAACACCTTCTTATCAAAAAAAAAAAAATAAAAAAAAAAAAACCTAATCTAGATGGACAGATTTATACTTGGATTGTCTACTAATGCATGGTCTTTGCATCCGGGTGCACAATGTGCATGGTGCACCTAGTTAAACAAAAAAAAAAAAAAAAGGAAAAGAACATTAGGTGTTCGTAAAACAATGTTTAGGTGTTCGAAAAAAAAACATGTTTGTTTTTTAACAAAGAACATGCATTACCAAAGAACATAAAGACATTACAAATAGAACATGATAAAATTTTATTAAAATTTCATGAAAAATTACACATTAGCAGAAAAATTATTTACCAAATATATCATTTTCCCAAAAATAGTTTTCTCTCTCTCCAAAAATTTAACTTTTCATAATAATTTTAGTTTTCTCTCTCTACAACTATTTTCAACAAAAAATAATTCCAGATTTCATTTTCAAATTAAATTTTAAATTACAAATTTCAAAATTCAAAAAAACATATATTAAAGAACATACGTTGAAGAACATAGGTTAAAAAACATACGTTAAACAATTCATTACCTCAAAGAACGTACGAGCCACTTAAAAATAATTATAAAAAAAAGCCATACGAGCCAAACTCAAATACGAAGTACTCGTATCATACTTCGTATTTTGTATTATTGAAACTCAAAAAACATGTTTAATCAACATAAGTTAAAGAACGTAAGTATAGAAGAACATATTATCAAACATATATAGGTATATTATTTGTCATACATGATATGCTTTTATCATACATGATATGTTTTTTCCGCCTTTCAAATGCATTATGCGCATGCTGCACCTGGATATAAAATACTATTTTCACATGTCTACCTGACTTATTTATCACTAACCAACCTTAATTTGGGAAGCATGCGTTGAACAACATGGGTCAACCTCTATTGAATTTAATTCTTTGAGAATTGATGGTAAATTTTGTGTATTAAAAGTATATAGTCCATAAAACATTTGACCTAATAAAATTATACTACCTATGTCTCATATTATACTGTCTATTTTGATTTAGACAGTATTTAACTGATCAATAATCAACTCGTCTTGTTTGTGGCTAACGACACCATGTGATCGCTTATAAAAGAACAAAGTTACCCTTATAATACTAACCTAGTAACCCCAATCGAGTAACTCCTATAAGTTTATAACACTGACTGAGTAACCACATAACACTAATAAAAAAACACTTTTAACACTTATCAAGTAACCCTATTACACTAACGAAGTAATGGTTACACGGTATGTCTACATGACACGTATAAAAATCATTATACGTTGAATGTCCCATTAGATTCATATTAGCATTTCATGGCCCCACAATACTCCTCTTTTCAACCATGAAATTGGATTAGCTGAGTTGATATCTTTCTACACCAAAAACTGCTCCCAATAATAATGAATATAGTTGAACTCGAATGTTGAACACTTATCATAGCCTTTTGCTTTCACATCTTCCACCCTTTTTATCCTACTTGTTTCCCTTTCACTTTCACTAGCCTAACTCATAAGGGCCCAACAATTAATTATCAACTTATCAAGTAATCCCTCTGTTTTATTTTAATGATACAATTTTCTAAAACAATCACTTTTTCCATACTAGGGTAGTTCCAATGTAGCACCAGATTGCTATTTTAATCAGGATTTTTTTGACTTTTACCACCAAAAAAAAAAAAAATACAAACAAATAAAACAAAACAAGGATTTTTTTTTTTAATTTTTTTTTTACCACCAAAACTTCTTAAATTTTTATTTTACAACGTGTTTGGCACGAAAATCGAAAAATTTTAAAAATTTCGTTAGGTTTTTTATGGCTGGTGGTAAAAAAAAAAATTAAATTTTCTAATAGGTAGTAAAATAAAAGGTTTAGAAGTTTTGATGGTAAAAAAACTTTTTTTTTTTTTGTGTGATAAAAATCAAAAAAATCATTTTAATTATTCCTTGTGATTATATGTATTTGATATGCTTTCAAAAAAAAATGTATTTGATATTTATAATGTCTTTTTTTCTTTATTAAATTAGATCTGTGATTTGTAATTATATACTCGTACATTTATTTTCATATTTATAACATCGGAAATTTCACCAAATGCCCCTAAGTTATTTTTTTATTCACCATATACCCATGCAAATTTTTAAATTCACCGTATACACTTGAGTTTCACAAATATGTCACCAAATGCCCTTAATGACTAACAGCGGTTAATTCCGTTAGTCATTAAGGTTAATTAGGCCACGTGGCATGCTGCAATTAGTTCTCTTTTAAGTAATTACTTAATTAATAAAACAAAAAAAAAAATTAAACCCACCCCCAGCCATCCCCCTCCCCTACCAGCGGCTGCGCCGGCGTCGGTGGTCCTTATACCCTTAGCCGGAATCGGCGCCGATGGTCCCTTTTTGCCGGCGAAGGTAGCCCCCACCCTCCGACACCCTATCCCCTACCCCCAACCCCTTCTCCCTCCGTTTCCCCTCCCCTTAAACCCCTCCCCAACCTCGAAAAACCCCTTAATCGAAGCGGCTGGCGTCCAAACCTCCTCCCCGGCGCCCAGCGAACCTCTTTCGCCCCCCCACCCCCATTCCCCCCTAAACCACCACCCAAAAAAACCAAAAAACCCCCCTTAATCGAAAAAAACCTTAAATCGAAATCTAGGGTTTCGATTTGGGGGTTTTTCGGTTCTTTAGGGTGGGGGTTTAGGGGGGAAGGGGTGGGGATGGCGAGGGGTGGGGTGGGGCGAAAGAGGTTTGCCAGCGTCGGGGTGGGGGTTTGGACGCCGGTCGCGAAGGAAGGGGGGTTTTCGAGGTTGGGCAGGGGGATTAAGGGGAGGGGAAACGGAGGGAGAAGGGGCTGGGGGTAGGGGAAGGGGGTGTCGGAGAGTGGAGGGGCTTCCCTCGCTGGCGAAAAGGGACCACCAGCGTAAGGGGAGGGGTGGGATCTCGCGGTGGTCGGGGGTTGGGGGTGGGGTGGGTCTTGGGTGGTTGGGTATTCTTAAATTTTTTTATTTTTTTTTTAATAATTAATTAACTAATATTACAACCACCAATTAGAGGCTGCCACGTGGCATATTAGTCATTAATGGTGTTAACTATTTGGTGACATTTTTCTTAAACTCAGGAGTATTTGGTGAATTTAAAAGTTTTGATGGGTATTTGGTGAATAAAAAAATTACTCAGGGGTATTTGGTGAACTTTTCGTTATAAAATTGTTAATGATTGGTTTGATATATATATATATATATATATATATATATATATATATATATATATATATATATATATACTACCTCCGGTTCATTTTATTTGCAACAAAGTACAAGTTTTCGGAAACCAAGGCAAAAGATTGAAAACAATATTATGGAATAATAAGGGTATATGCTTAACTATTAATCCAACCCAAAAAAAAAAAACAAATTAAACCTTTATTAAATTAAATAGGCCACCACCTCCAGCACCAACAAGCATCATCCAAACCACCCACCACCACCATCTCACGCACCCAGGAAATCGCCGACGCACCACCACTACCCCACGCATCCAGCAATACGCCAACCCACCACCAGCAACCCACGAACCCCAGCACCTAACGAACCAACCACACCACGAACCCCCAGCGACTCGCCGACCCACCACCACCACCCCACGCACCCATCACTGACCGATCCACCAACCCACCAAACCAATGAAACCATACCCACGAAACCAACCCACGAAACCCGCCGATCTGAAACCACTGCTCGAAACCCGACCCACGAATCAAACCCACGACGACGCCGTTCTACAACCCCCCGCCGCCGATCTGCAACCACGAACCCAGCACTGCTGATTCACCAACCCAGAAAACCCACGAAACCAAACCCACGAAACCCGCCGATCTGAAATCACAAAACCCGACCCACGTATCAAACCCACGATGCAGCCATTCTGCAACCCCCCGCCACTCGTAACACTATGAAGCCACCATGAAAATGGGGTTGGAGGAGGAGAGAGAATATTATATGGGATGAGAGTTTAATTAATTAAGTTAGGGTTTAAGGGGGGATTTGTTAAACATCGCCCGCGTTTTTCTACATAAAGCCCACATTTTTTAAAAATGTTGACATTATTGCCCTTGTTTTAATTTTTACCGAAAATAAAATTTTTCACTCATAAAAAATGTGGAGCAGGACTGGATCGCCGAGTGAAACCGAAGAGCCCTCAACGTCGGGTAGATGCACCGGAGAGACGCCGTTGACGCCGGAAAAGGAGGTACGAAGCCATCTAAAACCACGAATTGGCGGCTGGCGTCCTGCCGGGACGCCGTGACCGTAGTGGTGGCGCCTAGCCAGGACGCCGCCACCGTAACTCTGGCGCCTGGCCAGGACGCCGCCACCGTGGCCGTGGCGTCTGGCCAAGACGCCGCCGCCACGGTGGCGGCGTCCTGGCCAGGCGCCACCGCCACGGTGGCGGCGTCCTGGCTAGACGCCACCGCCACGGTGGCGGCGTCCTGGCTAGGCGCCACCACTATTTTTTTTTTTTTTTTTTAATTTAATTTAAAATTTGTTTATTTTTTTTTTTTGTGTTACAATTTTTTTCTTTTTTTTTTGTTTTTTTTTTTGTTTTGTTTTTAATTGTTTTAATTTGTTTTTGTTTTTAATTTATTTATTTTTTATTTTTTTTGTACAATTTTTTTCGTTTTATGTTTTTTTTTTTGTTTTTTTTTTTTGGTTTATTTTTATTTATTTAATCTAAAGTTTTGTTTATGTTTTTTATTTTTGTGTTTTGTTTTTTTTTTTTTTTTGAATACTTTTTGTTTATTTCTTTGTTTGTTGTTTATAATTTATTATTGTTTTTGCTTTTGTGCTAATGTTGTGTCAAATGTATTAATTTAATCTACTCTTATGTGATTATATTTATATGTTATTGTTGCAGGATTATGGTGGAGACGGAAATGATTATAGTGGGATGCGTTATATCATGACCGGGTGCAGCAGTGGAACAATCTAGTTGCCTTTTCTATGTGACCTAATATTGCTATTGCTATGTTTTTCCCATTTATTTAATTTTCGGATTCTAATTTTCGTATTTAGTTTTCCCATTTAAATGTGAACCTGTATTTAGTTTTCGTATGCCCACTAATTACAACTTAAAATAAAAGTTATAAAAACTAAAAATATAATGTCAAATTCTAAGAACTTAAAATAATAATTATAAGAACAGATAATGTTAACTTTTACAAACAACTAGGAAAATGTTTTATAAATGCACTGCCGACATATCAATAATCTCTCTGTGACGCCCACTGCCACTGCTCAAGGGCCCGTTCCAGTTCATCAATAACAGCTCTGCCTGTTGCAGTCGTCATGTTGTCCCTCTCCTCAAAAAGTCTGTGTCCCAACTGCGTCATCTTTCCCATCCACTACACATAACAAAACACATAAAATTCAATAACGACGTATTATGAGACGTATTATATGGAAAAAAACACAACTACAAATGTCTTATGAGACGTACCGCATCCACGGCAGTGGGCGGTGGCACATCATCATCATCGGCGTCGTCGCCGTGGTGGACGTCTCTGATCAACCTCGGGTGCGAGTGCCGGTTGTACCACTCCATGTAGTGCTGGTCACACATGGCAGCCACCCCAGTTGGCGGCCGCTGCAGCTGCTCAATCCATATGCGGGCAACCATCGGAAACTGCTCCCACGTGCCAATCATGCTTGCCGGCCATGCTGGTGGAGGAGGAACAACTTGGACATATCCAAGCTGGCGAAGACAGCGCTGCGGCATGTACGCCTCTACGATCTCACGATACTGAATCAGTCCCGTGTAGAGGGTCCTGGGTACCCTATTACTAGGGTTCTGGCCGAAAGGCATCCAGTTCACCTGCACATTTTTTTAAAATTAGTAAGATTCATACAATAAACACATCAAACTATAAAAGTAGAAATAATTTAAACACTTTACCTCTAATGGGGACATCCTGTCAAGCAATAACCGTATCGATCGCAGGCGGTCAATGGACTTCTTCTCGACACGCGGACTCCACGCACAGGCACGTGGCTGGCCATCCCCAATAGGAACCGGGTCGCGGTGTGGTCGAAACGCCGGGAAATACTCGTATATCCACGTCTGTAACAACGTCATACATCCAGTGATACCTGCCGCATCAGCCCGGCTCGAGAATCCTAACTGGCGATACATGTACGCTAATGTAGCCGACCCCCAAGAAAACTGGCCTACTCTGTCGGGCTCACACGCGTCAACTATGTCGCGTGGCCTGAGCTTGTTTCCGCTCTTATCCGGAAACAAGGTACACCCGAGAAGAAGAAAAACATATGCAGCCAGCTGTGTGTCCTGCGTCCTACGTGAAGTGGGGTGCAAACATCGCTGCAAAACTGCTGCGATCTTAACACCGCCGTGATCCCACACACCAAGTGCCGCTGTGTACAGCGCAGCCCTATCCACCGCCAACAGCTCCGCCAATAAATCTGCCTGATCCGCATATGTGACAACAGATGCTCGGTTTCCCTCTACGGGAATCCCAAGGATGGCCTCGACGTCATGCAACATGATCGTCATCTCACCGAACGGAAGGTGGAAAGAGTTCGTGTCCGGCTGCCATCGCTCAACGAAAGCCGTGATCAGCGTCGAGTCAATCCTCTCATGCATGGTGGCAGGAAGGTGGCTCACTCTAGTGGCCCTCAATCGGCCGACCATCTCGCTCTCCTCCGGCCAAGCCTCAGCCCAACTACACAAGAAGTTACAAGTCCTCTCCCGGGTTTGGCATTTCAAAATGCCGCTATCCAAAGCCCGCTCTTGGTCCTCCCAAATACGGGTAGCGATGTGTCCTAGAAAGCTAGGAATCACACTCCCGTCTATAGGTCCCCCAGCCACCTCGCCCCTCACCACCCAAGAATCATTAACGGCCCTCGACCGTTTTCTGCTAACCGCAGACACAGTGGACGCAGATGATGTGCCAGATCTACTAACAAATCTACCATCTCTACCCTTACGCACGTCTACCCTACGCGTCTCATACACATCATCAAGCCTCTGACTGAATGGACCGTAATCATCATATGGTCCACTCTGATCGTCCACATCCTCATCTGCATCCTCCTCCTCCTCCTCCTCATCACCATCATCATCTTCATCATCCTCAGAATAGTGCACCCGTTCTCTACGAGCCGAGGCCGAAATACCACGGGATCTAACGTGTCTGGGCCCCGAGCTCTCCATTGAGTTCATCGTACTTCTCATAATGTCCATACTCTTCCCAGCCCCAGAACGAAAATACGATGCCTAACACAAAATAACAAAACATGTAATATGCAATATAAACATGTAATATAAACATAAAAAAAGTAATTAAAATAAATAAATAAAACAATATACATATGATGGAAAATAAATTAAAAACATTACAAAATATTAACAACCTAAAAATAAAAAAATTAATAACCTAATAAATAAATAAATAAAAAATTGGAAAAAACAAAGAAAAAAAAAAAATTACCCAAAAAAAACAAATTGGAAAAAACAAAGTGAAAAATATAAAATTATAAAAACTTAAAAAAAGAAGAACATCAAAATTTTAAAAAAAATTTATAAAAAAAAAAGGGAACATAAAATTTTTTTTAAGTAAAAAAACTAATTCAAAAAAAAAAAAAACAAAAACAATAAACAAGAACATAAAATTAAAAATTAAAAAAAAAAAAAGAGGAACATAAAATTTAAAATTAAAAAAAAGAAAAACAAATTTAAAAAAAAATCAAAAAAAAATTAATTATTTTCGAAAATTAAATTTCAAATTTAAAACCAAAAAAAAAAAAAAAAAAAAATAAAAAGGCGGCGGCGCCTAGGCCAGACGCCGTAACGGTGGCGGCGGCGTCTAGCCCAGACGCCACCACCACGGCGGCGGCGCCTAGGCCAGACGCCGGTGCCGTGGTTCTGGCGCCTGGGCCAGACGCCACAGCCACCGTCACGGCGTCTGGCCTAGGCGCCGCCGCCGTGGTGGTGGCGTCTGGCCTAGGCGCCTCCGCCGTGGTGGTGGCGTCTGGCCTAGGCGCCGCCACCGCCTCCGACCTTTTTTTTTTAATTTTTAAACACAAAATTAATAAAAAATACCTTCTCGCCGGAAAACCGCTGTCCACCCGCCGCCTGTGCCGCCACTTCCTTGCCGGGCCGCCTCGACATCGCTCGGAAAGTTTTTTAGAGAGAGAAAGTGGAAGTAGAGAATAGAGAGAAGAAATTGTGTTTTTTACTTTGAGGGCAAAAGTGACATTTCACTCTAATTTTGTGGGCTTTATGTGGAGATTCGCGGGCGATGTTTAGCAATTCAGTTAATTTAATGAAATCAGATAATAAGGGTGTTTAAGAAAAAAAAAAAGTAAGGGCATATATATAAGTTATATATATGCCCTTACTTTTTATATATTAGTTATATATATATATTGTTTTTAAATTCTTGCTCCATTTCTCCATTTGCTCCATTTCTCCATGCGTGGAGTTTTAGGAGAAATTGAAAAAAGTAATAAAATATGGAGGTAGTTGAGAAAATAAAAAATGTAAAAAAACAAAAGTAGTGGAAGAATAGGAGGAGAGAGAGCATTATGTTCGGTCCACTAAGTGTGAAAATTGAATTTAATATTATAAAAGCTTTCTAAAATAGGAAATGAAGCAAATATTTAAAAACGGTCGGAAAAAAAAAGTGGAGCAAGTATTTAAAACGGAGGGAGTATATAGGTTTTAAATTATAATAAAAGATTAGTGTAAAATCATAGAAGTGGTCATTACACATTTTTATTACCAGATTGAATCATATAAAAATATAAAGGGTTTTTCTAAACTATACCCCTAAGGTATTCGAGTTTCTAAGGTGTACCTAGTCCTGGGCACCGTGCCGTGCCGGGCCGCCGCGGGCCGTGCCTGGCGGGCCGCGGGCTGGTTCGTGCCGTGCCGGTCGTGCCGGCGGGCCCAGGATTTCGTGCCGTGCCGTGCCGGCCATTTTCACAGGCCAGCCCACGGCACGGCACGGCCCTCGTGCCTGGCGGGCTCGTGCCGTGCCGGCCACGTGCCGGGCTGCGGGCTGGTGCAGTTTTCATTTTTTTTTTTTTTTTTTTTTTTTTTTTTTTTTAATGACAACATTATTAATTAATAAGTTTATAATGTATATAAGTTATAAAATTATAATTATAAGTTTTATAAGGTAACTTATAAGTTTATAACTTATAAGTTATAAGTTATTAAGTTATGAATTTTATAATTATAAGTTGAATATTTATGTTTTATAATTTGTATATTCAATATTTATATTTATATATTTACTTTATACTATTACTTTAAAATTTAATGTTTATGATTTATTAGTAATTGGTATAATTTTATTTTTTTTTAATATGAATTTACAAATTGTAACAAAACGGGGAAAAAAGGCAAATTGGACTTTGGATGTGAATAATGCGTACTTTATATTATTATTACTTGAGTTGAGAAAATTGTACAATGATAACAATGATAAAAATCATACAATGATGGTATTAAACAAAAATTGGAAAATGATAAAATTGATATTTTTAAAATCGTACAATATACAATAATTGTCTATTCTTCTTCTCCTTCTTCTTGCTCGTCTTCGTCTTCGTCTTCGTCTTCGTCTTCGCCTTCGCCTTCAAGGTCATCGGCTAGTTGCATAGATTGGGAACTAGCCGAACCCGAACCGGAAGCGGAGGTTCCTTCTTCATTGTCGTTGTGGTCGTAAGAACGGTCTTGTGAGCGATTTTCCGCATCCAACCAATCTTTGAAACACACGCACATTTCTAGTGTTTCGGGTTTTAGACTTGTTCTTCTATCGTCTAAAACCCTTACGGATGCGCTGAAAGCTCGTTCGGAGGCGACGGAGGAAACTTGGATAGCAAGAATGTCTCGTGCCATTGCCGCCAAAGTTGGATGCTTCGAGCTTTGTTGTTTCCACCATGCAAGGAGGTCGAGGCTGTTTATCTCATCGTCGTCCATGCCTTTGGTGAAGTCGTAACTCAGGTACATCTGCAACTCCGAGACGTCGCTTTGCGTTCTCCTGATTGATGAATCACCTGAAAACCTTGAAATCAAGTTAGTAGCTTGTGAAAATAAATGTTTGGCCTTCTTACTTACGTTTTTAGATGGTTGGGAAGGCCCTGAGCGAGGAACGGTGCCATATTTGGCTTCATAGACTCTATATAAAGCAAAAAACTGATCCTTCACATTAGTCTTATAGTTTTCTACATCATCGTCAAGAAACATGCATTGAAAGTAAATGTCAACTAACATAAATGTGTTTTCATACTTTTGCCTAGGATCTAATATGGAAGCAAAAATATAAATCAAAGGAATCTGACTATAATATTTACGCCACTTTTTTTCCATTGCTGGAAGATACTGATCATAATCACTTTGATCGCGATGATCAGCGAAAAGTTGGGCGAGTAAGCATGCATTAGAAAGAAAGTTTTGAGCACAAGGATTGTAAACAGTAGAAAAACAATACGTCATGTTATATAATAACTGTAAAAATTGCATATATCTTTCACAGTTATTCCAATCATCATCATACAAAGCATTTTGTGGAAATTTTTGGTTGTAAAATAATGTTAACGGGCCCTTGTACTCAATTGCCTTTGTTAACATGTCATAGGTGGAATTCCACCTAGTTGGGCAATCGGTTCTAATTTTTATTACCCTTATCTTTTGTTGTTTTAGAAAACTCTTCCATTCTTGGTATCTCATGTTAGAGCTATTAATAGACATAATAGCATCTCTGATTTTGCTGTAGTATGGGCCAATTGCCCGAACTCCATCCTGTACACATAAGTTAAGTACATGGCAAACACATCTAGTATGAAGAGCTTCACCGTCTAATAGTACATCGGTTAAGTTTTGTTTGATAAGATTAGCTGTGTATGTCATAGAGGTTGCATTATCAAAAGTCATAGACATCATTTTATCTCGAAGGTTGTATTCGTCTATTGCTTGCATTAAATGGTGAGCAATGTTAATGCCGGTGTGTGGGTATTCCAGCATTTTGAAATGTATTATTCTTTTTTGTAACATCCATTGATCATCTACCCAATGGCAAGTCACACATAAATAGTGATATTTATAACCACTATCCCAAGAATCGGCTGTTAAAGATACTCTACAGTTAAGGTTACTCAATTCGGCTTGTAACCGGACTTTGTACTCTAGGAAATTTTTCATTGCTGCGGAACGAACGGTTTTCCTAGAGATTCTTTTATGTTGGGGTTGTAGTGCTTTGTTAATGTAGGTGTTGAATGCGTCACTTTCCGAGAAAAGAAAAGGTTGTTCGGCGTGTACTATCATTTTTCCTAGTTCATCCCTATCCCTCTCATAGTTGTATGTAAAGCCGTATGGATGGAATTGGGAAATTTTGGGCTGGGTTGGATCACTAGCTGGTTTTGCACAAGCTTTCATGTGTCTAGATAAGTGTCCCGTCCCGTTTTTGGTAACTGCCGTGAATACACTATTACATGTTTTACATTTTGCCCATTGTTCACCATCTTTACTTAGGACAAAATAACGCCATACCTCACTCCTTCGGTTTTTCAAAAGTAGCATCTCAGTTTCGGTTAACCATTCATGATGTGTGTATTGGTTAGTAGGGGGACTAGTGGGAGTGGCAGTAGAAGGGGTAGAACCGGAGGGAATTCGGGTACTTTCTTGGCTACCTTGGCTAGAACAATAGTTTTGTTGATTACCGATATAATTAGGTGGAAATTGGTATGGTGGTAGTGGAAATTGGTTTAGTGGTGGTGCTGGAAATCCCGACGTATTATATGGCTCATAGCCCGGGGGGAAGTAAATGGGGTCATTGGTTTGACTCGTAATTTGGGGGCTCGTTGTATTTGGTGGTTCCCTAGAACTACTACTACGGATAAGTCGGCCTTTCCCCCTAGACCTAGATGATGGGTTGTTCGATGCCATAATTAACAATTAATTTTTTAATAAAAAGTGGTTAACTATAATAATAATAATTAATAACAACAATTTTAACAATAAAAATATCAATAATAATAATTAATAACAACAACTATAACAATAACAATAACAACAAAAATAAATAATAACAACAATTGTAACAATAATAATAATAATTAATAACAACAATTATAACAACAACAATAACAATTAACAACAATAATAATTAAACAAGATTATTCTAATAATAACAATAAAACAATAATAAATTTAAGATTAGTTTAGATCTTACAACCGTGCTTCAACGCTCCACTAATTACGATTACGAACTTTTTAATTTTTTCCGATATTAGGAAAATAATTAGAGAATTTAAGAGAATAATTAGAGAATTTAAGAAAATAAGGATTATTAGAGATTTAGAGAATATAAGAGATAAGAAGAAGAGATTGTGATTTTGTGATTTGGGAATGAAATGGAGGTGAGTATTTATAGAATTTTTGGCAAAAAAACTAGTCGTTTATAGCCGTTTAACTAGCCGTTGGCCCGCGGGCCGTGCCTATGGGCCGTGCCTGCGGGCCAGCACGGCGGGCCTTGCCCGTGCTCGTGCCGGGCCGTGCCTGGGAATTCTCCACCGTGTCCGTGGCACGGAAGTCAAACTTCGTGCCGTGCCGTGCTTGACTTCGGGCCGTGCCGGGCTGCTCCGAACGGCGGGCCGTGCCGGGCGGCACGCGGGCCAACCCGGCCCGTGCCCAGGTTTAGGTGTACCCATGCTTTTTCAAGTTTCTAAGTTGTGCCCCTCAACTCACTAGCATTAATGAATGATACCCTCCTTGGAACTTCCACGTCACCTAAAGTTAACTATAAATTTAATAGAAAGATTATAAAAGGTAAGGAAATGGTAGGAGAAATAAATCTTAGCCACCACAACTCTAATAATGAAAACTGAAACCACGAAATCACACTCTCAAATAACTTTTAAACAACTAATAAGGGTACGTTTTAGTATTGATAAGGAGTTGAAGGGCACGGCTTAGAAACTTGAAAAAAGCATAGATACACTTTAGAAACTCAAATACTTTAGGGGTATAGCTTAGAAAAACCCAAATATAAAATGCTAAAATCCTTTAATCCAAAGAAAGACAACGAAAATAATGGTCAAGAAAATTTTAGTAAATTGCTTGGTTGTTGTTTTTTTTTTTTCCAAATCATCCCATATTTCCAATGTCTAATTTACACATTCCCATTCCCATTCACGAAACGCCTAATTAAGCCAAAATAGGTTTCAGAAATTTGGTAAATGTCAAAGCTGAACTTAAATTTTTGTACAACATATCAATACTATAAAGAATATAATGGGAATTCATGTAAGTAGCAAAGTAAAAATCGGATGAAATAACCTTTCAAATTCACAGCAAAAAATTATACTTATATATTATATAACCTATAACCTAGCTAAGATATAATCAGATATAGGAGTTTTCTCCATAGCAACTTCTCAATCACGACAACGCCTTCTTACTCATCCATTGAACTATACTGTACGGAAACTATTACCCTTTGAAACAGTTGCACAATCGACTCCCAGTGACAGAATGCGTCTTACATTTGTATCGTTGAAGATGTATTTAATCTGATATAAGCTGAGAATGAAACGGCTGGTGTGTATTTACAGATAAAACACCCGGGCCTTTGACCTTCTGAGACATGCCCCATAACGTAGTTGCGTCAATATTAGAATCAAAGCAACTGACAGGCCGATTGAGCCTCATTCACTTACAATAATTAATCATGTTGATGACAGTGCATAAGGTCTGCTAGAGTGATTTTTCCACAGCTGCCAGCATCCAGCTGATCGAATTTCTTGCATATCAGAAGAATGTCTTTATCTGAAACCTTTCCCATCTCCTTCAGTTTGTAGATTACATACTCTGACTTGCTGAAAATACAATCAAGGAAAAGATCAGTAACTCTTCAAAACTATTATAACATTTACCTATCTTAATCATCACTCCCAGCCTTAATACCAAACAACAAGACTAATTTATTAGGCAGGACACTTTAACACTTCATTTTAGGCCAAAATCATGGAAAATTTTCAGAGCAGCCAAGTTGCACATGGGTACCTAAGTCCAAGTAGCATGGAATTCTCCTATTGAACAATCAATAATACCGAAATATAACAACAGTGACCAACATCAAGTTCGAGTCTTATCTCAAGCAAGAATTAGCGAGGTCAAGTTGCCCATGCAATTTAAATCCAATAGACCGCGCGGGGGGGGGGGGGGAGATGATGTGAATAATGACTACCAATGACAGCACAAGAATTAGGGGAATAGCCATAATATGTAAATCAGTAAATGCAATATATTCCCAGGCAGAAGGATGAGGTAAACCAAGTAGTTAATTCTGAATATTGTTAAGAACTTGGCTCTGTTAGGAAGTTAGAAGCAAGATATAACTTTTCCTTCTGTACAATGATGCTACACGAGTCTCTTGCTCAGATTGGAAAAAGAAAAAATTCCAAGCAGTAAGCTAGTAACAAAAACATTTCTTCTCCCTATTCTAATTTTTCTTTTTCCCTAAATTTTATTTCAAATCCATACCCCACAATTATTCTTTCAAAAAAATTCATCAAAAAGGCAAGTAATTCCAATAGAGAAATAGGTCAAAGATCAACACATACACATGATATCAATGTTGAATAGCTCTAAATTCTCACCCAAAATATTCAAATAAAACAACTAGACATTCCTAGTGTAAATACAAGCTTCCTAAAAGAACATGTTATTCCTCATAGTTGGAGCACTTTATTCTATTAAATATGGGGTTTTGTTAATGCCGCTCCATTATGCATATGGTCATATAGTGAAGAGGCCCAAGAGGGTAATGGGATGACAGAATAACAAAATATATTTCCCGTCCACTGCTCAATTAATAAACAAAGTATACGAATTCAATGCAGTTCCGCTGCATATACAACAAAAATACTAAGCATGCACAATGAAACAAAACTGTACAAAAGATCAACGGCTGAAAACCACTAATATTTAGGTGTCAATAGAGTTTTAAAATTACATATCCAAGTAAAGTGGAAAATAACATAAACCAAGACCTATTAGGGGGTGCTTGGCTCACAAAGTAGTATAGGTTTGAAATCAGGAATGAATTTAGAGTGGTCTAGGAATGGAACAAATTCTTAATATCTTATGATTGGGTGTTGCTCGGGAAATGATATTTTCCTTTTTATTTAATACCTAGAGGTGTGGTATGAGCCATACCCACCTCCCCCCGGGCCTCTCTAAACCCTATACCTTGTGGGTTTGAAAAAAATTAAGAAATTAGATTTTTCTTAAACAAACATTAGTATGAGATTTACTTATTCCAACTCCATACCTCATACCTAAAACCTATGAACCAAACGCCCCATTACTATACTCGTGGCCAAGTGCCTATTGAAAGATGTTAAAGAGCACTTTAACTTGAAGAACTAACAATGAAGCATAGAGCCATAGACTGTAGATAAATGTCCACCCCCAATTTATAATCCCTATGTTAATCTTGTAACTTTTAATCGAGGGACAAAGTGATATACTTCCTCCGTTCTTTTTTTATCGCATCACTTACTAGTTTAGGAAGTTTACTTTTTATTGCATCATTTCCTTATTTAGCAAATTTTTACCTACAAAATTACTTTTTTACCCCTCTTACAATAACATCATAACCCCACCTATTATTCTTCCTCCTACCACATTAAATCCCTTTATACACCACCCAATTTTATTTTTTTTCGATAAATTACCTTAAATACATACAACCTTTGGACAAAGCCTACCCAATAAATCAGCCCACTTTTTGTTTTGTTTGCACAAATCTAAGTATGAAACCCTAGTTCTAGTTTGTTCTTGAGCTTTCTCACTTTCCTCATTCTCTCTCCTCCCTTCCCGCTTGAACAACCGTTGTTTCCTCCTTCATCCAACTCTATTCCTCTTTCTCTCTCCTCTTGAAAGGGTGTGTGTCCTACTCCTCTCTGCCTCGTTCTGTTTCCTCTCTTCCTCCTCCTATAATGGATCTATCTCCCCTGAACGAAGCCCTCTTTGCGAGTGATGATGAAATCGAGCAGGGTTTCATTGTTGCTCTTTCTCTCTCCTCTTGAAAGGGTGTGATGATGCAAATTTGGTGTTTGGAATTTTTGAAAATTTTCAATCATGAAAATTTTGGTGGGGAAACTTGAACTGAAATTTGTTTGGGAAATGTAAAGTATTTCCACTGTTCACTGTTTATGAGTGGAAATAAGTCAGAAATTGAGTTCCCTTTTGGGTAATACACGGATACACTTCACCTAAGCTGACATCAATTGTATAAGGTGGTGGGTCTTTTTTTTTTATAATACAAGGACACTTTTGTAATTTTACCACTCCCAAATTTTGCCGTCAAACCTCCTATGATGCGATAAATAAAAAACGGAGGAAGTATTAATTATCAGATTTTTAAGGTAGGCTAATATAGTGAAACTTTAACTAACCTTTACCCCATATATCGGAATAATATTTACATGAATTTACCCCTACCAGTCAAGACAGGCTTCTAGACTGTAGAGTAAGTGCTTTCACTAAAATCAACTTAAGCCTGATACAACTAGGCCAATTCTCACTATTAGTTGCTAGAATTAGCCACCCATTCGCTTATTCTGTACAGATTTTTGCATAGCCATACAAATTGCTAGAAATATCACAAAAGCAACAAAATTGACGGCAAGTAAAGAACAGCCAAAAAGGAGGTAATAAAATCAGATAAAAAGACAAGCTAACCACTTATACTTGAGAAAGCAAAGACACTCCGTATTCAATTGAAGAGCCATGGATTCACAATCTAAAATTAAACAATTGCAAGAGCTGCAATTTGACTTCCAATAGCAGAAGACAAGAAAGCAGGGATCCAGGATGTACTAGAGCAAGAGCAAACAAATGAAAGAGAATATTTCTAATGATTTATGTATAATGCGCTAATCCCCCCCCCCCTCTTTGTACAGATAAACAATTCAGAGTTTGTGGGTTCACAATTCCTTCAAAGGTCACTCAAAATATCATCAATGTTAGAATGATAAACATATACTTCGTATCATTTACCCATAAAAACTTAGTGGAGCCTCAACCACAAAACATGATACTGCTCCAATCTTGACTCACTGCTCAACATTTTTTCATCCTCCAACAGTACTAATGTACTATTACATTCTTAGCTTAGTGTTCAACATTTTTCAACCTCACATTTTGTGCAAAAATCCCTGTTCATTTTGTCCCATTTACTACAAAACTGAGAATGTTTTAAAATGAAGAATGAAAAAAGAGCAGTAAACTAAAATGAGCATTTTTCTAAAAATCAATTATTAAAACAGTTGCAGAATAGGTGATGAGTTTCAGCGTTTTCAATCAAGTACCTTAACAGGAAGCAACATCTCATAATAATTAGTCAATTAATTTATTATGTGGCATTTGAAAATCATGTGGCAGTTCTTTCAAAAACAGAGATGGAAAGGAAAACATCAAAAGTTAGAATTGCAGCAATCCATAAACCATTTTGGCACTTTGGTAGCTGAAGAATCGAGTTTTATAGCGCAATGAGAAGGCTTCTGCTAATATGTACATCAATATCAATACCAACTAGAAGATTAGGTTTATTCGAACTTTCTAAGCCCTCCAAAATATAAAGAAGTTGGCATATTATGCCTATATATTTGTTATCTCTTCAATAATCAATATGCTATGCTGGATCTCAGTGCATAATGGCTTCATAAGCAATAATTTCAGCCTTTCACTTTGCACCAAATATGCAACATAGCCAAAAACATGTACTTGTAGTAAACAGTCCAAATTTGCCTAACAGACTAAATTAGAGGTTAAGCTCACAAGAATATACAGTTAATCACACAATTCTGCAAAATCAATACACAGCAAGAATAAGATAGGCAGAATAACTAACGTAAAAGACCAGGTTCATACCTCACAAAGCCATTGTTGTCCATATCAGCAGCAAGAAACTGTGAGACGGTCATATCCTGACCAAGCACCCGCTTTGCCAACAGCCTATTACGCTTGTCAATCCTAGCCTCGGCCAAGTAAAGAAAGGCCCGAGCAACAGCGAGTGTAGATACTAGCAACCAAATTGATGCAAAGCAACGACCAGACAACGACGAAAATGCCCTATCACCATAACCCACTGTGGTAACTGACATGACAGAAAGATAAAGTGAATCCACCCATCCAAGCTTCTCAACAAAATGCATAACACCCACCCCAACTCCAATACACATAACCACCACACCTAATGCCAATGCCACCTTCATTCTTATCCTCATCCTCCCTTTCTTGACATCAATAAGCACCGATTTCGCCTGATCCTCTCGTTTCCCTGCCTTAACCGTCCTAAGAAGATAATTCTCTTGCAAGTCTAACACATAAGTAACCATCCCACTAAGCAAAATATCAATAAATCCAAACCCAACCAATACAAACAAAACTGAGAACAACTTTGTTGTAGTAGAATTAGGGGTTATATCCCCATAACCAATAGTACACATAGTCACAATGCAAAAATACAATGCATCAATTACTGGGTGAGTCTCCCTACCTTTAAAATGTGTTCTATTCAACCAATATATCAAAACCCCAAATGACAAATAAATCAATAACAGCACAAATGCTTGTATAACAACAGACTGAGAGCTAGGTCTGGGTATACCATCTTCCTTCCTTTGATCATTACTATTTAAAACCGCCATAGCCGGGGCAGTCTTAGACCTGTGAAGATTAGTTTTCTTGCCGCGATAATTAGGATCAACCAACCACTGCTGTTGCTGTTGTTGTTGCTGCCACTGCTGCTGCTGCTGTTGCCACTGCAGCGGCGGCACCTGCAGAGGCTGCTGCTGCTGTTGTTCTTGACATTGTTGTGCTAATTGTGGGTCAAAAAGAAATGAAAGATGATGATAATCCGAAGACGGAGACGGCAAAGGCGAAGAAGGCAGAGAAAGGGCATCAAAGAGAGTGGATGAAGAAGGGGATTGAATTGAAATTGAAGGGTCTCTAGGAGAGGAAGGAAAGGAACCAAAGATAAGACGATCTTTGAATTCAGAAGGGGTTAAAGAGAGTGAAACTTCATGATTTTCAGGAAGAGAGGATAGAGTTAAAGGTTGTGGTGGAGTTACTTGTGACCTTAACAATGGCAGAATATGTTCATGCTCTTCTCCCTCCATTTGGGTACTCTCTAGATAGAATTTCGCGCCATTAAAATGGTTTTTACCTTTCGATCACAATCCCAACAAAAATAAAATTGAAAAAAATGGGTTTCACCTTTCAATCACAATCCCATAAAAGATGATGATGATGATTCACCTGGAGCAATCAAGTGATAACAAACAGGCAAAATTGGAAACAGTCAGTGTAATAAGGTAACAACAATGATTAAAAGAAACGTATTGAGTTTTAAACCCGAAAGAAACGTTTCGCCAAAGAACCCCAGAACCTGAAGAAATCAAAATTTCGAAGAACACCCATTAAAATTGTGAGGATGAAGAAGGAGAAAGCGGTGGAATTTGTTAGAGATGAGACTGAAAAACGAGATGGGTATTGATAAATTATATATTTCAGGGATACTATATTATAGTATGATTATGAAGAATATAATAAGTAATGCAATAAATGAAATAATGAATGGTATAAAGATGAAGATGAAGGTGAATTAATGGCGAAGAAAGAAGAAGAAGAGAGAAAAGAGGGAGGTGGTGTAAAATAGGAGAGGGTTGGTCATAGTGTAAAGTATTTGGTTTGATTGAGGCAGTTGTACAGTTACACGTTAAGCGTCAGGGAAGGGGGTCTTCTACACGAGTCATGTGAATTTCAGGCAGTATTTTTTTGTTTTGTGGTTCGTATTTCATTGATTCACATGCCAATCAATTTCCAACATTCTACTTCTGCGCATCGGTTAGGCTAATACCCATAAATTTACTCTTTTTTTTAACAAACTAGTAAAGGGTACGGAGTATTTGGGTCCAAGACTCCGAGCAATGCCCGCATCATGGTATCGAATTGATCATTAGTATATGTTGTAATTTATGAATCAATAATTTTAGTGCTTGTTCTGATTTATTGAAGTGAGATGAACTGAATTGAAATTCATGAAAGAGGGAAATTAAGAATTTAACTCAACTGAAATAATTAGAGCTGAACTCAACTGAAATTAAGCTAAAGAGAACGGACCCTAATTAAATTTGTTATATATTTTATCATTTGCTAAATATTAATATTTTATATTGAAAAGATAACCTAAAATATCACATATCTAAGAATCTAAGTGGCAAGATATTAGTTATGGTGGTTTCAAAAAAAAAAAAAAAAATACTCCCTCTGTCCCTAAATTACATTCCTCTTTCTAGCATTTATTCCTCACATAATAGAGAAAAAGAGGAATGTAATTTAGGGACGGAGAGAGTAATTAGTTATGGAGAACTTTTTATTAGTGTAAGGTTAGGGTCTATTCTTCATGCCTTATTTTCCTTCATTTAAACCTCAATACCGGGATTGAATATGGGTTAGATTAAAGTTGATAAATAATATTACCTCCGTTACATATTAGTTGCAACTTGAGTTATTATTTGTAAAACATAAAATATTTTAAAGTTGTAACTGATATGTAACAGAGGTAGTAGTACATATAAGATAAAAATAAAGACCACCAAACAATATCATTACCATACAAAAAACTAATTGTGCCTTACATGGCATAATTGATTTTTCATTCTTAATTTGTTAATTTGTACTAGTACGAATGAGAAAATTAGTTTTTTTCTTACCACCAATCAACTTCGCAAATTTGCCAAGTCTATGCAAATAAGAATTTTTTTTTTTTTTTTGGGTGCTAATAAGAAATGTGATAATTGGTTGAGAAATGTGAAAATCACAAGGGAAACTGAATTTGTTACACCAAAAAGTGATTTAGGCACATTCATGAGAGCAAGGTTTTCTATGCTCCTCTCACATAGAGGTGTGCCCATATCAACAAATAGATGTGCCAAAATCAATTTCTTGTGGCAAAATTTTTTTTATTTTATTTTTTTTTTTTTTGAAAAAGTTGTGACAAGATACACTTTTTGTATGATAAAAGTTGCTTATATTGTCCAATAACGTCTTACAAGATCCAAAAAGTTAAGGTTGATAAAATCAATAAAAAAAATAGCTTTAGGGCCAATAACACAAGATAACAAGTGTAATTCGAGTAAAGTAAACAGTGCCTTACCTTGCTAAACTTCAAAGTATTAAATATTGCGTAAGCGGTTTAATTGGCAACTCCATATGTTTGAGGTTAAGGTTATGTTTGATAATTAGTGGGTAATATTACTGCTATTATAATTAATTGTATTGACAGGTTTGATAAGCGAGATGCATTAGATTTTATTTTTGACTAGATAACTAGCTATATTAGTTGTTTGTACAAAGTGTAATTGATAACTTGTTATTTGTTATTATTTACTCATAACATAACAAAATGTATCTAATCCGATCTAAATAATCAAAACCAAAATAAATGATTACTCATTCTTATCACTCAAATAGACCTGAAACTAAAATACAATTGTATACTTGATTGTTATCCTAAACATGATTTAATAATTCATATATAGATGACTTCACAACATTGCTTCAATTCTAAAAGTAACTTCACTAAGGTTTTGACTTGACAACATTGCTTCAATTCTTAAAGGATAAAGATACTATAGCATGATTGCGATTCCATTACATGTTAAGGTTGTATTTAATGCTTCTATAACTATTTTAAAATTTGCCTCAATTATTGAGTTAGATGCTGAGGTACTAAGTTGAGTTAGATTTGTATGTCATGGGGACACAAACAGACAGTTGTATTTAGGTTTTTTGTTAACAAGTTGAGCATATTATTATTGCTCTTGTCTTGTAGTACTACCACACTGTAGTTTATACACATTGCCGTCAATAAAGAATCGAAATTGTGATCTATGTAAAAAGTATTGTTAATCAAATATAAACATATTTTGTAGTTGCTTTCAATTTTATTTTTTCCCCTCGTTAGTGTGAGAAACCACTTTTTTAACAGCGTGTTTTGTGTGCGACTGTCCACACCATGTAACCGCTTATAAAATGCTAAAGTAACATGTATAACACTAACCAAGTAACTCATGAAATTTTGATCGAACAACCTCTATAAAACTGATATTAACCCTATAATATTGACCGGCTAACCCCTATAACATTAACGAACTATGATGACTAGACCTGGTTATAGGGTGGGTTGGGTTAGGGTCGTAGCGAGTCGGGTCAAAGAGGGCCACATTTTATAAGGTCAATAACGGGTCAGGCCAATGCGGGTCGCGAGTCAATAATGGACGGGCTTACAAAATATCAATTAATATAAATATTGGACAAAACCATTATTAACTATATATGAATACAAATTTATCTATGTAATTATTTTCACACCATTTATTTTCTTTATCAGTTAAATTGGAAAAACATTTTTAGCCGTATATTGACCCTACCCAATAAGGCCCTATCCATTAAAAGCTCTTTAAATTTGACGCTGATCCTATTATCATTGGGCTACCATACCTGTTTCGGGGTTTTCTGATGTCCTGCGGGAGAGTTACAATTCCGAGACTGGAACCGGACGCCTGTACCTGCAAAACAAACGGATGCTCCGGATGATTGGAGATCCGCCTCCGACGGTCAAGTTAGTACTTGATTAAGGAGTAATTAATGCGGAAATTAAAGTGATTGGGTCTCTCTAGGTGAGAGTGTTTAATGTGTGTAATCTGCTTTTTAGCGTGTTCTCTCCCTTAATGAGGATTAAGGGAGGTATTTATAACCTCGGGAAACGTGTCAATCTAGGTTTAGGTTAACCTTGGGCTGATTGGGCTTCCCTCGGGAGTTGGGCCTAGGTGACCGGTTATCCCAGGTGTCATGGGAAGGACACGTGTCGTGTCGTAATTGGTCCATGGTGGACGGATCATTGCTTGACACGTGGCAGGCTCCTATTGGCCCATGTGACGGACACATGGCGGAACCTGATTGGTCCACTTGTCAGATGGTGATTGGTGGGGAAAAATCCCCTAATCATTTGCCCCTCACAGGTGGCACGTGACTGGTCACGTGTTACCTGTGACAGGTATCGCCCTGTAACAGGCGACGACCTGCTACAGGTTTCACTCGGCGAGAGGCCGAGAGATTCTCCCGCCAAAATTTTGAATTCTGGAAGTGACCCTTCGCCTTCTCACTTCGCCTATATAAAGGAGTGTTGACTTCGGTCATTTTCACACTTGAAAACTTTGTGAGAGAACATTCGGACCCCTGAACTTGCTCTGACATTTTGGACCCTTTCTGCCTACCGCCTGCTCTGACAAGCCGACTGCAAAGGATTTTCAGAACTTCATCAATCGTCACTCGTTCAGGTAACCGTCGGTTCTCTTACTCTTAATTTTCTCTTTATTCTTTTTTGAAATGGCACCACGGAAGCACACGACACGACCTAGGTTAGTGATCAGCCGGTCACCGGGGACGGCTGAATCTAGGACTAGGAGTGTCGCCTGCCCTTTTCTGGACCCATCTTTGCCCTTTATACAAAGTCCGACTGTATCTGTGTCTATGCAGAACATGATGGCCAGAACAAAAAAGACTGCCAGGATCTCAAACTCAGACGGCTCCTCACACAAGGTGCCGATTAGTGAACATCTGACCAGGCGCCAGATGTGGAAGTGAAACAAAGCGGCTTGAAAGCCGGCAGTTCTGAGGGAGGAGTCAAAGTGACCCCTTCCCATTTTACCGTTGACAATTCTACATTCTCTCCTGCTCCTTTTAAAGGAGAGGAGGCGGGCCCCTCCGGGAGAGGGGAAGAGTCGTCCTCTTCGGACTCGTCAGAGGACGATTCCGAGTCTAGCTCTTCTGGCCATGCTTCCCTGGACACAGAAGAGAAAAACAGTCGCCTACAAGAGGCGAGGCTTTCTCACGCAGTTGAGAAGGGGGACGATTGGGCGGAGCCATCCGCCTCTCACCGAGAGCAAAATACCCCCTACTACTGCACGGTACCTCGGGGCCAGATCACGGCCATGCAAGAGAAAGTGGAGAGCTTTATCGCAAACCACACAATGGGCCCCGGCTTTTTAGTGTTCGTGCCGGATCCAGAAGACACAGTCGTATGGCCGGCTGGTACCAGTTATGATGGTGCCTGCTTTGGCTGCTACGAGGCGGCCATCAAGGCTGGGCTGCGCTTCCCACTACATCCAGCTGTTCAGCGGATCTTGGATGGGTATGAGTTGGGGTTATGACAGTTAGCCCCGAACTCCTGGGTCAACGTACTCGGCTATGTGGCCGGGTGCGAACTGCACGGGGTGGAGCCGAGCTTCGAGGCTTTCGCCCACATGAACTACCTCAGCCGGACCCCTAAGGCAGGCGGTACCGGCTGGTATCAATTGACGAGCCACAGGGGCTACCTCATGACGAGAGGTAAAGCAAACAAATGGAAGGACTGGCGGAGCACCTTCCTCATCATTGAGAGTTAAGACACAGAGCTGAACAAGCGCTTCAACAGGTGGAACAGGAATCCGCCCCTTCTTGCAGGCGGCCGCAGCATGCCGCCTGTTCCCCCCAAGGCTAAGAAAGAGATCCTAGAAAAAGGACTCTTCAAAGTAGAGTCGAAGGTGAACTCTACTTCAGGGGTACGAGAGCAAGTACCCCTGCACTGCGTCCCGAGCTTCAAATGGCTCTACGACGAGTAATTTTTGGTCGCCTGTGGCCTCAGCAGTCGGTGCTCAAGAGGTAGCCGGCCTGTCGAATACTCTGTTGTTCCATGCATTTCTTGTTATGACTTTTATTAACTTTGCTATTTGTTTTTGCAGCGGACGTCATGAGCAAAATTACCGCCTCCAAGACTGCGGCGGCCATGTTGCGGGCCTCCATCATGCAACGGTCTTCAACCGACTCCCCCAACAAGGGGGCACCCTTGGTGGGCTTCGAACCTTTCACCCTCTTTTTGGAGTTGTGTTTATGCATATA